CTGGATCCGGGGTCAAAAAATAGACGTTCCCATTTAAAATATTAACTTTGATCTTCAAATAACCTTGAAGGTCAAGGTCAAATCCAAGGTCACTATCCGATGTCTTCCTCCGAACCTAACAACTTTCGTAATGGTTATTTTCGGTTTGGTGGCTTCCCTGACGTAATTTGAGATGTATAAATAATTAGGAAAGGTTCGTAGTAAACCCTGTTTTATAAAACACTGCAAATATTATTTCAATATTTATTAAAAAAAAATCGTTAGTTGGCTAAGTTGACACTGTCAACAACGACCAGTATTAATAACTGCTCGTTAAGTATAAATCAAAAGTAAAGCATACACTCAACGCAACGAAACGTCAACGCAAATATTTCACTCATACATGATAATAATTAGAGGCGTCATGCAAATAGTTGTTTGTCGGAAAGCATTTGCTTGTAAATAATGGTGCCGCTCTTTTATTGGTCGATTCAAATTCAGAATTTCACATATATAAGATTAAAATAGACCGTAACTGTTAAATTACGTAATTCTGCCTCATTATTTAAAGATTATCTAGAATACAAGACAAGGAAATGATAGTAAAGCTTTATGTTGCGGTTATTTTTTCAAAATGAACAATTTTCATAAAGCAACCTGTGGTCTAAAGTTCTAGAAAATTAATTATGAATTATTACGTGAAACTTAGGCCGATCCTGCATCGCCTCACTTAATCAACTGATCAACCGTTTACAACACAGTAAATGGGTCCAGTTCAGTGTGGTTATTTGCACGGTGCTGTTTCAGACGCGTCTTTTGTGCTGTTATCGACTAGATTGATTTACGTTATTTTATTTAAAAATACCTTCTTCAAATCAAGCATTAGAGGATTTAAAGATTATCTAGAATACAAGACAAGGAAATGATAGCAAAGCTTTGTGTTGCGGTTATTTTTTCAATATGAACAATTTTCATAAAGCAACCTGTGGTCTAAAGTTATAGAAAATTAATTATGAATTATTACGTGAAACTTAGGCCGATCCTGCATCGCCTCACTTAATCAACTGATCAACCGTTTACAATACAGTAACTGGTCCAGTTCAGTGTGGTTATTTGCACGGTGCTGTTTCAGACGTGTCTTTTTTGCTGTCATCGACTAGATTGATTTACGTTGTTTTATTTAAAAATGCCTTCTTCAAATCAAGCATTAGAGCATATGGTACAGGGAGTGCCAACTTGATTTAATTATAAATCTTTCATTTGTATGTGGATCGTTACCTTCAAAGACGGTGTAAACAGTGTAGAATTCTGTTCAAAGACTGTGGGACATCGGTATAGCGAACCCAACGTATGAAGACCAGAAACCTGAACCGCAGTACCAGCGATATTGCACGTGAAATGGGTGGTTCAAATACTGCTGTTTGTGTGTGATGGGAGCTCTTGCTGCATCTTTATCATGTAGTACAATGCGTGCAGACTTTGATTGTAAATGAATTTCACGTGTAAAATTTTCTCGTTGGTTTCGGTAGCAAGTGGCAGTCACCGCCATCGACCTTAAAATAACGTATTTTTGGTGCAACCGATGAAATTGACAGATGCCTGGAGTAATAGCACAGATGGGAGTTAATTTTCACCGCCACAGAAGTATGCTTATTAGCTCGTGGAAATAATTTAGAACAATGTTTGTAGATTTGCTTGTTATAGGCTTATGATTTGCTTCTAACTGACAATCCCTAAAAAGTATTTTAAAGTGAGCATTTAGAGTGGCAAAAAACGATTCTTTGAATGACAATTTTTTTTTAATTTAAAAATAGATGCTTAATGAAAATGTTTATTTTTCGCGTTCTCTACTACTTTTTTTGAAAGAATGCATTTATTAATAACTCTATTAGATTACTGTATTGATGAATCCTAGACTGAAATTGTTTATTCTGTTAAAATTGTAGAATTGATGTATTTTTATATCTTTAAAGTTGCTAGAATAGCAATTCTAACAATACAAACATTATTTCACGTTGTAATTTGAATTTACATATTTTGCATGAACTTGTGAAAATTTAAAAAGTAATGGCATGTTTTACGCAAATTTTTTTACGAATAAATAAAAACAAATTCTGTGAAGGTAAACGACCTTTTGCAGTATATTTTGATGCTCTCTCGTCAGAAATTTATGTATACATATTAATCAGCTTGCCAGCAATTCATCACACGATCATCGAGAGCTAATGTAAATTCTACTCTTAAAAATCTAATCCACTTAACTAAGCAGGTGTTTTTAGTCGGGCTGACTCATGGTGTACCTGGTTATTTTACTCGTAAATAGTTACCTTGACAGCAGCTTAGTACATCCAGGATATTCAACAGATTTTCTCCAATGGTTATTTCCGTGAAATACGGTTCGGGGCGAGAACATTTCAGCCGCCTGATGAAATGTAATGAGGAAAATTAGAGGCTGGATGGTAGAGAATACGCCACCTTGGAAATATTAAACAGGGTTAAGATATAATGATATAATTGGAATAGGATACATCGAGAGAATGTGAGGCTGTGACAAAAACGATAATTGGTTCTTTGCCGGTTGAGTGAACACGAATTTTTCAGCTCTTTGGATTCTTTAAATAATATTTAAAAACAAAAACATTTAAAAGGTATCATCGAAATTTGAGGAGAATCAGTGGCGCTCATCTACTGAACAGTATAGGGATTTTATCTGAGGTTACCAACTAATTTTTTAGAATGGGTAGCAAAGGAAACATAGGATTATAGTGCGTTCTACAGATGAGACTCCAGAAACCGAATCATCCATTTGAAATGTTTCATCACCCTCCAGTTCTTTATTAAATTGTCAAAAATCACACCTAAAACCTAAAAGGTGGCTAAATATTTACATTCAGTAGGTTTCCTTTTAACCACGACCCTTTAAGCAAATCGACACCACATATTCTTGAGGCTTATCAGGGCTACAAAAATTTTAAGAAATCGCCCTTATAATTAGTTAAACATTATTTAAAATGTCACGAATTTAAATTCCTAACACACAGCCACTGCACATAGGAGGACTCGTTCACAATATGGCAGGCATATCCTGAACAAATGAAGGCAAAATCAATCCTATAACTTTGCAGTTCTTGAATAATTAAAAATAAATGTTCGCCCCAAAATCTGCTATAACTTTACATTTAACGAATTTATCTCTTCCTTGCAATCATGGTATACTTAAAATCTCAAAGGCAGTCATGAAAATCAACTTAGCTACAAATACAGCAGCTTTAAGTTATTTATTTTGTTAAGGAAAAAAGGATCTTGTACATAACCTGTTTGAAGAGAGCTATGTAAAAGGAGAAAGAATAACTAAAAACCACTGAAACCACTGTATTGATTTATTGCAGCTTTTAGGTTTAATAACTGAGTCGATTTTCTCGACCCATCCACAAGTGTCTTCAGATATTTCAGGTAGGTATTCTATGGTTGCAGATAGGTTCCTTTGCATCATTGCCTGATCCAAAGAGAAACCCAGTACATGTAAAGTTACAGCAGATTTTTGGGATTCAGTGCAAAGTTTTTGGTATCTACATGAATGGAAAAACGTGGTGGAAAATTATTATTTCAAAACATAAATACATATTTTGTCTTTAGTTTTTTTCTATTTTCTTGGGGTACAAAAAAAACACGAATTGTCTAGAAATTGTCTTGGGTACTGATAAAAATATACACCACAAATTACTACACATGTAAATTATATTTAATTAATGATTACGGATTTCAAAAATTCACTCATGTTTCTAATCAGGACCGCGAAGCCATCAAAAGTCACTCCACGTCCCATAAGAACTACCAGTCGCGAGACGCACAGAGCGCGGGAATTTTCATCTCAGTTTCATGGTGATCCTGGAGACGCGTCACGCCGTTGGAAATTATGAAGTTTCACCGACCTTTCCAAAATTTCGGCCGTCTCTTTGAACAACGTTCCAAACAGCCCAAAGTTACCCCGCCGCAGCAGTTGACATTGCCAACGACGCGATGTATAGGAGAAAGAGCCGTTCTGGGTTCAAATTTCCGAGATAAAAAATTCTCGGAATTAGACGAAATCCAAACTGAACGGAAACTCAACTATCAAAGTAAATATCTAAAAGCCAATTCAGAAGGATACCTAGTTCCAGAGATTCGGGAATTGAAAGGGAGACGAATCCGAGAAGTAAAAATGGTGCCGCACTAAACCGGACCACGGAGCAGAGCCTCTATCGGAGATGCCCCTGCCTTGAACGAACGTCGACTCGATCCATCGGCACTTCGGTGACCAGCGTTCGATACCTGGCCAGAGTTTGTACTCGGTTCGAATTTCATGCATTGTTTATGTCACATATTATGAGTTGAACACAGTTATTGTTATTAGCCCAAAATAACCAATAAAATCTGTTTTTTTTTTAATATAATTCTAAAAAAATATCACACTAACTCGAAGCTCACACAATTCCTTAACTTACCCGCCTAGGTCCGTCCTACCTACGGCGAAGACCCTCAAGGGATACCTAACTCTTAAGCTGCCATACACGCGTCCTCCAAGGAGGCAAAAGCTCCTCAACGGAGGTTTCAGCAGCCTATGATCTCGTCATCGATGAAGGAAAAACGACGAGTCTCCTCGTCATCTACGGTTATTGTTATGGAGGAGACACCTGAGCTACCTGGAAATTCCTTTAACAAACTAATACTGCTCCTATCCGTAAAGTACCTCTTGGCACTTAAATAGCTATTAAAAATGTTAATTTATTTGCTTGGTTTGAAAAGTATTTCCTATGATTTATTAGCCATTCATGTGGCCATACTTTTAACTACAAAATTCAACCACATCGTTGAAATTCGGTAATGAAATTGGAATTTATATTTTTATGCTTTTTCTTATACAAATTCCGGTTTTGTTTTTGCAAGCCATAAAATGAAGATAGACAAATTAACACACTTTTAAGAGAACAAATATTGTTGAAATTTTTTATTTAATCTACATTTGTTTTTTTTTGTTCCAGGTAAATGTGGCACCGACCACACCAGCTCCAGCAGCAGCAGCAGCAGCAGCAATGTGGCAGCGCGGACCACTGCTCACACCGACCCGGCGTCGTGCCCGACCGCTCCCTAGGCCTACCCAGCATCAGGCGGCGAGCCCCCCCGTCACCCAAGAGAGCCCATTTGCACTTTCCACCCCCACCTAATTACCCGCCGCCCTTCCCGTGCCCCTCGACTTCGAAGATGGCCGACGAGCCCTTCGTCAGCGTGCCGGGACCGTCCTCGCAGGCCGATCCTCCTTGGCCCAACATGGACTACTCGTACGCGTACTACGAGCCGGGACCCCCCACCAAGCACACCAACGTGCCCAGCAAGTACCTAGGGGCGTACAGGGAGGGATCTTACAAGACTAGGCATACTTATCTCACCAGGTATTTCTCTTTTCCAAACAATGTCCCGAAATAAGCGTTGTACGGTTAAAATAAGAGAAAAATGTACTGGGTGTCCTAATAAAAAAGGATGTCGATCATATGTCAGCAACGTTGAACTAGGTAAAAGTGACCAAGAGAAATGACTGGAACTTATTTTTTAATTTCTCAGTTTCTCGCAAAATGACGTTATGGGTGTAGTCAACTAACAAAATACATTTTTCCCAAAAATGTACTTACACTACATTCACATTCAAGTTTGATACATGCGTTGTAAACCTCGTGACTGCAAAACTATTGGTCGAAATGAATGAGGGGTGCCGTTCGATCTGTTTCGACCAATAGCTTTGCAGCTGCGTATTTTTTACCCGTGTATGATGCTTGATCATTTTTACTTCGTTGGGATATGTAATGTGGGCGTAGTATAATTTATTCGATTATACACTTAGCTATTCGTAGATAGTTTACATTTTTTCTTGAAAATTTTAAATGGAATCGTATACATATTAATCTCTGCTTAGCTAAAAAGGTTACAAAAAAAAATGTTAAGATCAGGGAAAACAGCCTGTCTAGGTAAATATTTTTTAAAACTAAAAATGAAAGCAAAATTATGAAATACATATTTGTTTTAAAAAATACGTTGCTAATAATAATGTAATTAATAAAAATTAAAATACGGTTTTCCATAAATATTTCTAATAAACGACTTGTATCTTTTCATTTTAATAATAATGAAATGTGAATAGAGGAGCGTGCATAATACATTCTGAAATTAATGACTGAACATTTTTACGCAAAACCAAACTAAAACTAAGTATATCAACTATGTCGAAACAGCGGACAATAATTACAAAAATAATAAACATAAAAAACATAATAAACAGTGGACGATAATTACAAAAATAATATTAGAGAAATGAGCCAAATATCATCAAGATTAACGTTCATCAAACAACCATTTCTTTAATTTCCTTTTAAAGTTAATTAATGAAAAATGATTCAACTTGGCCGGCAAGTTGTTGTATCCCTTAGGTGCAATATAAGAGAAACTCCTAGTGTACAGAGCAGTGGCGTGGCGAGGAATTTCAAGCAAATGGGCATACCGGGTATCAAAATTCGAAATATTTTTGTGAAGTTTGTGTAGTTTATTAAATAAATATAGCGGGGACTTAAGACTTTATGAATATTACACAGTAAGTGTAATTTACGAAGTTTATCAAGCTTCAAATGATTAGAGTTGTGAATCAAGTTAGTAAATACCACTATCAAATTTTTTTATACCAAAAGCAAATCTGAAGCAACAATTCTGAATTCTCTGTAAACGTGTCGAATCAGTCTTTAAAACTGCGGGTCCATAGACAGTATCGCAGTATGAGATTTTTGAGATTATTAAAGCATTGCAGAGGTTTAGTTTTAATTCCGAGTTCATTAGGTCTTGATTAGAGTACAGCTGTTTTAAAATACTATAAGAGACTTGACATAAATAATTTATATGCTTGGAAAACCTCAAACTTTCATCAAACCACAGACCTAAGTTTTTACATTCATTACTAATTTTTATAGACTCATTTGTTATTTTAATGTCTAGAGATTCTTTTATTAAATTTCTTTTAATTCTGGGACAGAAAAGGATGATATTAGATTTCTTAGGATTTAATTTTAATTCATGAGCAACTGAAATATTTAGTAAGGAATTTAAATCGTTGTTGATTAGCGAATCGTTAGCGAACTGTAAGTCAATATACTTGAGAATCATCAAGGTATGATGAATGTTATATATATATATATTTAAAATAACAAGGGGCTTAGTATGGAACCTTGAGGTACGCCAAAATTTATTAGTAAGGCGTCTGACACCTTTGAGTCAGAAATTACTTTTTGATTACGATCATGCAAAAAACTATTGATTAGAGACGCGGATGAATCATCAAATCCATAAAATTTTAACTTACTGATGAGAATATCGTGATCCAAACTATCAAACGCCTTACTATAATTCAGCAAAACAAGACAAGTCACTCTTCCCTCATCAGTAGCCTTCACAATATCGTTTGTTATATGTAATAACGCAGTAGTAGTACTATACTGTGACTTAAAGCCAGACTGGCAATCTGGAATAATATTATTACCAAATATATACTTTGATATCTGATTTTTCAAAACTAACTCACAAACTTTAGACAGTGTAGGAAGTATGCTAATAGGGCGAAAATCAGTTGGATTACTATTTTTTGGTAATGGAATGATGTTAGCAGACTTCTAAGCACTAGGAAATGTAGACGTATGTATAGATGTGTTAATTATATGCGTAATATGTTTTAATAAAACATCACTAATCAACTTTATCATAGTAATTGATATCATATCAGAACCGATGGAGTAACTTTTAATCGAGTTTATGTATTTTGAGACATCTTGCGAGGAAACTGAAGTGAAGGAAAAAGTGCAACCGTTGTTAAAGGTAGGCTCTGTATATTTCTTAAGTAACGAAGTTTGTTCTACAGTAGGAGTTGGTGGTGAAATATCATTAAAATAGATATTTATATCATTTGCATCTTTCAAGTTTTCCGGCAGATCCTGTGCTTGGGAATTACCAATTATATCTAAGGATCTTAGCGAATTCCATAAGGATTTGCTGTTCTTATTTTTTAATGTATAATTAAGAAATGCTTTTTTTTTCATTACGCACTGCAGTAGTGATATAATTTCTCAAATCTTTATAGTACTCCCAATCTGTGTTCGAGCGAGTACTTTTATATTTCAGAAACGCTTTATCACGTATCTTCATCATTTCTTTTAGGGTATCTGTGAGCCACGGGGCACGTTTTTTCTAATTTTAACTATGCGTAAAGGGGCATGCGTATTAAATAGCTGCAATAAATTCAAATTATAAAAGTTAATCATGTCATCCACATTTTGCAAAGTAAGGATATAATTCCAATTGATAAAATATAAATCATTGTAAAATAAATGTTCCTCAAAATTTCTAAAGTCACGAAAAGTTAACAATTTTTCAAGAGTTTCAAGTTTTATAGAAGTTACAACACATGAAACCACCAAAAACACCAAACACATCTTTAACAATCAAGGACCCTATGATATCTAAATTTGAAGTAACTAATATGTCTAATAAGGAAGATGAGTGGGGAGTAACTCTTGTAGGTTCATTAACAAGCTGTTCCAAATTGTAGGATTCTAAAAGATTATGAAAATAATTGATAGCATAGCTATTCGGTACTAAAAGATTAAGATTAAAATCTTCTGCAAAACTATGTTTTCAGCTTGAGGTAACAAAAAGGATAAAGAATTATCTAATAAATCTAAACTAAATAGTAATTTAGCTTTAGGTGGTCTATAGTTAAAAGATTTTTTATAAAAAAATTCACTAAACATATCGTTCCTCTTATCACGTAGGGGCGTATAATTCAAGATATGGATATACATATACGCCTCTACGTGATAATAAGGACGATATGTGAGTGTCGCCTGCACAATAGTTGAACTGCCATGAACTTCTTTCCTGTACTTAGATCAGTGCTGACAGAATAGCGAAGAAAAAGTCTTATACAAAAATTTAGTCATGACTATTTTCATTAGTATAATTTATAGACTAATTAAAAATTCTTATTTATTATTATTTTTATGCGGTTTTAAAATGGATAATTATAAACGCAAAACACAACAATAATTGTAAATACATACCATTACACAAAAACTAAGCTAAACTCAAAGCTGTGGTAAATAGCAAACTAGATTGACCTAAATGAGATAAAAGCCAGCAGAGTTTTAAATCCCTATTTATTAGTTTATGTAAATACACTAGCAGAATAACGGATGATAATCCTTTTAATCTGTAAAACTGACGCAAACAGGCACCGTCGCAATACAGATGCAGATAATAAATTTCAGTATTAATGCAAGTAAGGAATACAACAATACTATCACACGATACTGACCCAATAAGAATGGGCTCATTTAGCATATATTTTTAAATACATATTCAGAAAGTATAAGTCATACATGTAGTTAATGTTCAAAAAATCATATATTTTTTTTCAACAGTTTCTCCCTCAAAATAATTAATGAATACGGAACGCAGGGAACGCCATATTGTGACGTCATACCACTCATTAGCAGCTAGCCCACATACTTGGATAGGTATCGCATATATGCAGGGTGTCCCAGTGTCAGCGTACAAAAATTTACCAGGGGGTAGACCGGACTAAAATAAGATTAAAATTGTTATAAAATATTTTTCTGTCATGCACACTCACGGAGTTACAGGGTGTTGTTTAGAAAAAAATAATAAAAACTTTCCGCAATAACTCAAAAACCCTTCCAGGGAATTAAGTACTTTTTGGGTGAAGTGTACATCTATTAAAGGTCATTAAAATTACATGGTGATTATTTTGATCTGATGCCAGGAGCGGCCTAGGCCAACTTGTCCTCAAGGTTATGTCTTCATAACTTTTGCATATCCTAGTTTTATGTAATTTGATTACGTTTTCCTGAATCTGCAATCGATTCTGATCAAAAAATGAGCTCTTTTCGAGTAAATTGGGTCTAAATTATCGACTGCATTAGTTCGTAGAAAAATGCATGTGAAGATTTTATTTCTTGTTATCTAGTAGGTACCTGTCATTATAAAAAACAAAGTTGTTTACAAGCGTAGGTACATGTCAAAATTAATTACAGTACTCGAAGTTACTAGAAATTAAGTTTACAAAATAATATTATGAAATTATCCAACAACGAATATGCTGATATGATATTTGTCTACGGTTTCTGTCATGGAAATTCATTGGTGGCCTCATTGGCAACCTTCACAGCACGTATTCCAACGAGTCCTCCAAAGAGTNCCCCCACCAAGCACACCAACGTGCCCAGCAAGTACCTAGGGGCGTACAGGGAGGGATCTTACAAGACTAGGCATACTTATCTCACCAGGTATTTCCCTTTTCCAATGTCCCAAAATTAGCGTTGTACGGTTGAAAATAAGAGAAAAATGTACTGGGTGTCCTAATAAGAAAGGACGTC